TGGACTGAAGCAAAGCTGGGTGGCATACCTGGATAATGTACGAAACTTAGCCTCATAAGCAGTAACCGACATCCTGCCTTGCTCTAAGCTCAGGAACTCATCTCTCTTCCTATCCCTCAAAGTCTGGGGTATATACTTCTCCATAAATAGACTAGAGAATGATGCCCAAGTCATAGGTGGTGTCTGTGCTGGTTGACACTCAACATACGATCGCCACCAAATTTTGGCATTTCCCTGAAACTGATAAGTCACAAACTCAACGCCGAACCGTTCTACTATGTCCATCTTATGTAGCAGCTCATGACAATCAACCAGGAAATCATAAGCATCCTCAGATTCAGAACCCTTGAAGACTAGAGGTTTCAACTTCAAGAATTTAGTGAAAAGTTCATGTTGATTACTCGTCATTATAGGCCCTGTAGTCAATCGAGGAAACGTGCCTACTCCCAATGAGGCATCCATGCGGGGAGCCACAGCAGCTGCATGTTGTACTCCCAGAACCTGAGGTGCTGGTGCAGAAAACACTGGAGGTGTCTGGCCTTGATCAGATAACCCACTAAGATAAGCAAGAACCTGGTTAATCATCTCTGGGGTAGGTTGGGGTGGTAATTCCTCATTCTGCACTCGCTCATTCTCCCCTTCCTCACCCTCTCTTACTACTTCCTCAGTCGGTGGAGGAGTCACCGCCCTAGTACTAGCTGGGCCAGGTGCTTGTCCTCTTCCTCTAGAGGACGTCCTCCCGCGACCTCTACCACGGCCTCTTGCCACTGCTCCTCTTCGAGCTACAGCCCCAGTGGCTGGCTCAGACGCACCTTATCTTGCCGGTGTTGGTGTTGGCGCAGTTGTTGCTCTAGTTCTAACCATCTGCGAAATAGAGTGAAGATGGTCAGATACCAATTTGTATCACCCAGATACCAATTGGATCCAAGTAATAGCACGAAAGAAAGAAAGAATGGAATTTTCCTAAAGTCCTATAGCCTCTCAAAGAAAAGTAAGGGCGTCCCCCTACCGTTCCTCAAGACTCTACTAGACTCGTTCTTGTGTGATGAGACCAACGAACCTAATGCTCTGATACCAAGTTTGTCACGATCCGAAACGAGCCGCGAGTGGCACCCACACTTATCCTCCTATGTGAGCGAACCAACAAATCTAAACCCCAACATTTCAACCATAATGAACAAAATATAATGCGGAAGACTTAAAACTCATTAAAGAAATCAATTAATAACTTCTAAAATTTATCAATTACTATCCCCAAAATCTGAAAGTCATCACACCAAGAACATCTATTATCAAGTTTCTAAATCTAAGAGTATTAAGAAGCTAAATAAGTAAAAGGATGTCCATGTCCGAACTTCAAGACATCAAGACTTGAAGGAGAGAATCCAGCACGAGCTAGGAACAGTAGCTCACCCTGAATTCTGATCTGCTGGAGACTGGCTAGAGTTGCGGACGAGTCGAAGTCGATGGCACGTTTGCTGCACTCCACAATTAACAAAGAGAAAAATACAAGTAAGGGTCAGTACAAGGAACACGTACTGAGTAGGTATCATCGGCCAACTCAAAATAGAAAGCAATATACATTGAGTAATAACATAAAATCAACTACAATACTCAACAGGTGGCAACAACAAGTACAAGAACCATTGACAACAACACCAAACACACCTATGAGTACTCAAGCCTCCACACCATACTCATTTGGAAAAAAGGTTCTTTAAGTTTGAGTATATTACCATAATTCAAGATTCATTCTCTTTATTCCTCTTGTGTCGGAACGTGACACTCCGATCCCCTAATACTACGTGTCGGTTCGTGACACCCGATCCCCTAATACTACGTATCGATTCGTGACACCCGATCCCCTAATATTACGTGTCGGTTCGTGACACCCGATCTCCTAATACTATGTGTCGGTTCGTGAAACCTGATCCCCTAATACTACGTGTCGGTTCGTGAAACCTGATCCCATAATACTACGTGTCGGCTCGTGACACCCGATCCATTAACCTCATTCTTTTAGTTCATCAAGCCTTCTTTTATATCAAGGCATCATCATTAATAGAGTGGATTTAAGGTTTTTAAGATTCCACAGTATCATCATTATAATCCATCACCGTTTACATAATCACAACATGCAACAACACAATTAAGCATATAGAAGACTTTACAACACCACCCAATACATATCAATCGCTATTTAGAGTTTACTATGAAATAGTATAAACCATAACCTACTTCCACCGAAGAATCGTGATCAAACAAGCTACTTCCCAATGCCTTTGCTTTTTCTCTTCGTTTCTCTCTTCTCTCCTCGTTCGTTCTCCCTTTCTCTGTTCTTTTCTAATTTTTTTCTTCTCCCAATTCTTTTCCTTTTACACTAATTATCAAATAATTCATTATGATAAAAGTAACCCATTATTTATTTTAAGGTTAACTCCTTTAACCCCCAAGTAAATAAGTTATTAAACTTACCCACTAATTTCACACAGTTTGTCATATATAGTCCAAAACACTCCTTTAAAACTTTAGCAGAAATTCGGCCCAGTCAAGGTTACGCAGCTCGTGACGGCCCGTCGTGCCTGCGACGGTCCGTCCTGCAGGGTCGTCACAGAGTTCAGAGACTCAACTTCAGTAAAAAGGTTTGCGACGGCCCGTCGTATCTACGATGGTCCGTGCTGCAGTTTCGTCGCGAAGTTCGGAGAGTTGATTCCATGTACACAAATTTCAGAGTTTAAGTGTTTTGGCACGAAGACACTCGATGGTCCGTCGTGACCATGACGGTCCATCGTGTGATCCGTCGAGACAGTCAGTTATTATCAAAAGTAATTCTACTGCTCGAAACGACTAAACAAGTCTTTACAATTATGAGTAATAAAAATAATTTATTACACATATAATTGCCAAAACTAGTGTCCTGTTTTTGACGCTAACGGCTTAGCTGCATCCACCTTGCATTCCTAAAAAAATGGTATGACTAACATGTTAATAAATGCAACTAATAAAAAATTAGCCTAAAGTTAATTAAGGAAGTATTTTTAACATACCCATTTAGCGTATAGGATTACATTAAAGAGGAAATACTCCTCTTTTAATTTAATTTAATTTTTGGTTAGATTAAATTTCATTTTTGGCTAGATTAAAAAGGAACAAAATATGAAATTATTATAATTATTTTTTTTAATGTATGGTTTAGTTTAATTTTTTTGAAAATCAAATGTGAATTTTTTAACTACTAAGAATTTGGAGTGAATTTAGGGAGAGAAAATAGGAGTGAAAAAGGGAGTGGTGAATGTGGGTTTGACTGATTACTTTTATGTATATAGTAGTATTTTTAGAATTAGGAGAAAGAAGGATTTAAGTAATATTTTAAAAAGGTAGGGAAAATAGATAATAAGGTAATTAAACGTGTGTATATGAGTAATTTATCCTAAAAATAATTATCTAGTCCACAACTTAGAGCAATATTTCTATATTGCTGAGGTAAACCACTACAAAATATATAAGACTAAGAATAATAAATCATATAAATTAATAAATAATTGACAAAATCAACAACTAATAATCGAAATATAATTGTTGAGCATTACCGGTCACTTTCATTGATAGTTTTGTTTAAATAAAAATCATATCGGCCGGTAAGAATATTTTTATAATGAGTCATGTTAACAAAATCAATAGATTGAGTTATCAGAAATCCATCAATGCTATTACGATTTTCTAATTGGGGATGGATATCGACTGATAAAGAAGAACGTTGTTGACTAATTTTAGGCTTCTTCCTAACATAGATTTCAAGTATTGTTAACTTGATTTGATCTATGTAGTCATTTGAAACCCTCAAAAAGTCAGTCAATGATTCGTCAGTATAGATTAAAATCAAATTATAATCAGTATTATTTTATAAATTGATGAAATAAATTTATTACATCGAACATTAATTGGATATTTAGCATTGTGTTTGGGAGGACAATTATAATAAATGATATTTTCGTCATGTATAATTTTGTCATCCCAATAAATTAAAACTTTAACTTTAGGTGTAGAAGACATCTTTTTTTTGACATTGAAATGAACAAATATAGAAGATTTTATGTTGTATGTGCTATCAACTATGATTAAACGTCCTTAACTAGAGATTGAAAGATTATTCAGAATAAACAAATTAAAAATACATATTGTAATATTTTTTTTCCGTTTTTATGATACGTCAAATCAATATAATTGTGACAACACTGAAAAAACTTCTTCAAAGCGTGAAAAATATTCCTCGTGTAAGAAAAAGTTTCATTTCATAAAGTATAGGAAAACTTACACTTTATCATAGTGGAAGAAAAAGTTCCACTTATTAAGTGTAAGAAAAATTTACACTTAAAAGTAAAAGAAAAACTCATACTTTATATAGTGGAAGAAAAAATTACACTTTATAAAGTGTAAGAAAAAATTTCGTTATATATTAGAAATATACGTTACGACACTAACGAAAAACGTTTGAAAAATTGAATAAAGTGAAACTCTTTTTTCCAGTAAATTTATTTTAGTTATTTACTAAAATAATAATTTATTTTGATCACTTTTATATTTTTATGACTTATTTAAGTTCCAAACTCCGTTTGGTTGGTCAAAATATTTTGGAACATTTTCTAAAATTGAAATAGTAGGATTGGAAGAAAGGACGTAGTTTTTTTCTCTAAAAACATTTTTTAAAATATATTAGTCATAGACGAATATATATTTTTAAATTATTTGATCAAATACAAATTAGTAGTTGCCAAAAACACATGTATTTCAAAATAAGTTTTAGAAATTTAAGCAAACAGATATAAAACATATCGTGATAGGCAAATAGGAATCTGAGCACGAAATTGATGTTTGGGTAGAAGTCCAGCATCCGAAATTTGTAATTCCGCCTGTCTTTCAACTAATCCATCATTCCATTTTCCAGTCGATAGATCAACTGTTGATGAAGGAATTGCTTTGATCAATTCCGAATTCGATTTCAGGTAAACTCATTTTCGATACAACTCGGCTTCACGGCCCTTTAAATTCAATTCTCTGTATTTCGATTGCAATTTTCTATGCTCTGAAATATACATTTATACTGTGGATGATGAATTCGGATTCAATCTCCTTCAAGCCTATGGCTGTACCCACAAGGGAGGATGACGAAGAGCCACCCATTTCCTCCACTTCATTGCTTTCTTTTGACACAGATGACTGTTCCACATCTATTCCCCCAAAACCACCTTTCTCTTCCTTAATTTTAACACCTCTGATTCTCGTCACTTGTGTATCTCTATCTACAGCTATTATCTTTGCTTACCTCTTCTTTTCACATTCTTCTGTCTCCTCTATTTCGCATGTATCACGTCCACTTCAAAAACTCAAACATCCTGTTGTTCTTTTGATTTCATCCGATGGATTTCGCTTTGGATATCAGTACAAAACAGATACCCCTAATATCCGTAGATTGATTACGAATGGGACAGAAGCAGAACTTGGTTTAATTCCTGTATTCCCAACTTTGACGTTTCCTAATCATTATGCCATTGTGACTGGTTTGTATCCTGCTTATCATGGTATTATAAACAACTATTTCCTTGATCCAAATATTAGAGAGCCTTTCACTATGGCCAGTTATGATCCTAAGTGGTGGCTCGGTGAGCCACTTTGGGAGACTGTCGTAAATCATGGTCTTAAGGCTGCTACTTATTTCTGGCCTGGATCTGAGGTGAATAAAGGAGGTTGGACTTGTCCGGAATATTTCTGTAAGATCTATAATGGTTCTGTCCCATTTGAAGAACGTGTTGATACTGTTTTGAACTACTTTGATCTGCCTAATGATGAGATTCCGTCATTTATGACACTCTATTTTGGAGACCCTGATCATCAGGGTCACAAGGTTGGGCCAGATGATCCTCAGATCACTGAGGCCATTGCTAGAGTTGATGGGATGATTGGAAAGTTGATCCAAGGTTTAGAAGAAAGAGGGGTTTTTGAGGATGTGAACATTATAATGCTTGGCGACCATGGTATGGTTGGCACTTGCGATAAAAAATTAATCTTTCTGGAGGATTTGGCTCGGTGGATTAAAATTCCAAAGGATTGGATACAGTCATATAGTCCACTGCTTTCCATTCGTCCACCACGAAGTTATTCTGCCAAGGATGTCGTTACCAAGATGAATGAGGGATTAAAGTCAGGGAAGGTTAAGAATGGGCAGAATTTGAAAGTCTATCTAAAGGAAGAACTGCCTGATCGGCTGCATTATTCTGAGAGTGATCGAATACCACCCATCATTGGATTGATTGATGAAGCATTTAAGGTCGAACAAAAGAGCTCAAAAAGGTTCGAATGTGGTGGATCTCATGGTTATGATAATGCATTCTTGTCAATGAGGTCTATTTTCATTGGCCATGGTCCTAAGTTTGCTAGGGGCCGAAAAGTCTCATCATTTGAGAATGTTCAGATTTACAACATGGTTACCACAATCCTTAACATACAAGGAGCATCCAATAATGGAACATCATCATTTCCAAAGACGATTCTTTTACCCAGCCACTGAGATTTAGCCAATTAGGAATGTATTCTTTATGCCACCAGAGGTGAGATAACATCAGGTGATTTTGTATGTTTCTCTTTAACAATAATAAAGTATTGTTAAGTTGATGAACTAGTGCTGAAGTTTATGCAATTCTGTACCTCTTGGCATTTTTTACCTTTCCCGGTTTGCAGTCTATTAGGTGTTGTAACTCTATTTAGGAGCTGACTTATTTAAAGATTAGTATATTGTTGCTGTTATCTAGATATAGAATGAATTGATAAATGAATAACTTTCAAAATATTTGTTAGCTGTATCCCTTTTACTGCATGTTCTTGACATATATTATGTATCTGCCATTGCTACTCAGTTAGCTGAAGGATACAATTAGCTGGAAAGTTGGTTAAATAACATAATTGAGATTTGGACTCAGATTTCATTTCATTGCAACTCAGCTATAAAAGCTTTTACACTTTACTTTGAATATGATGAATATACAGATTACTTCTGTTTCTACCTAAATCTTCTTTCTACTTTTCTATCTTCTTCCCTTTCATCTTCCATAGTTTGTCAACCCGAGTTTCTCTATAGAACTGGCCTGTTCATCTGCTAAAACCTCGGATTCCATTGAGAATTCCCACATTTTGGCTAACATGGGAGGGGTTAGGGATGAAGGGAGAGAGCATTCCTTCAACAACTTTGAATGAGAAACAATGTCCCTTATATGATGTCCCATTCAGTGTTTCTGATTGATGATTTGATAAAATTGAAAACGTCAGTGATGGAAGCCGCTATGTTCACAACTAAATTAAAATTACACATTTTATTCAGGACTTAAGGGTGAATGACCTTTAAAATTCACCCAGTGAAGAACAAAAAGTCAAGTATCTGTATGGGTGATTGGTAGTAAGAATATTAAGGCCAATGAAACCATAGCCCTTGCTCTTGATCAAGAGGTTAAGCTTACATTTAGTTTGTGCTGCCATTTTTGTTGTTCCCTTTGTTGCATCACCAATACAGTAGCCTCTGATGGTAATTGTTGTGATTGGTGCTTTTTGTACCATGAGAATACGATATCTCTATATGTTTGTAGTTGCGGTTGAAAATCTACCTTCGATTGTTTCTCCATCATTGCAGAACTTTTTGGAGAAACTTGCAATGCAGTGGCGTAGCGAGAAATTCTAGGAATGGTGTCCAAAATTTCGTAGCTTGTAAAATAATGCAAAGTTTCTTAAATTTTGTAAATCAAACTACATAACAATAATAATTTTTTTAAATTAAAATATATCAAAAATTTTAAAATCAAACTACATAATATTTAGCTTTAATGTTCATGTTTATCTGACAGGAAGTGAACCAACAAAGAAAAAGAGAGATGTTCAGTTTAAAGCGAAATCACTTTTATGCTTCAATGGCCAACAACAAGGATGAAAATACGAGTTATATTAAAAGAGAATTTATATAAAATATTTTCACTTATGGAATAAATAATAGCATTTACTTATTAACTTTAAATTAAATAATTATTTTTAAATTTTATTTAAATTTTTAATGAAAAGGAAAAAAAAATATTTACTAACTTTAAATTAAATAATTACTTTTAAATTTTATTTAGATTTTTAATAAAAGGAAAAAATAACTTGCTTATTAACTTTAAATTAAATAATTATTTTTAAATTTTTAATGAAAAGAAAAAAATTAAAGTCAAATAACGGAAATCGAACCTTTACACTGCAAGTTGAAAAGAACTTAGTAAGAGTTGAACGATTGAAACTACTAAACTTAAATTTTTATTTTCTTTTAAGGGTGTCCAAAATATGTTATTTAACCATTTAAATTACTCCCTCCGTTCGGTATTGTTTGTAATGGTTTCTATTTTAGAGTCAAACTATAAAAACTTTGACTAACATTTTAAGATGAATTTTTTCATCATATTAATATGCAAAAAATTATTATTTATAGTACTTTTCATATGGTTTTAGAATATTTAATTTTTTTGTTTAAAATATCGAATTAATGTGATCTAATTTACCTTTGAAATTAGTCAACTTAATTTTCAATAAGCGCAACATGACAAACAATTCCGGACGGAAGGAGTATTATTTTACTTATAAATACGGTGCAATTTTCTGACGAAGGGTGTCTAATTAAGATAGCTACGCCCCTATTGCAACGTCTTGCTTGATCTCAAAGTTGCTGCTATGAAGCATTGCCAAACCAAAATACTAAATAGCCTGCTGTTAGTGTACAACCATTCTCGCTTGATAATTGAGTACCTTTCTTTTGATTGGATATGAAAAATGTTCTGTGTTTTTTTCTGTCTGTTAGTGGTTGTTCCACTTTCTTGCTGAACAGATGTTCATTACAAGCTATATGTAGGTGAGGACTGATAATGTTGGATCATTAAGTGATAATTCAAGTTCAATGTCTCGTTCTCACCCACGCAACATACATTTTCAATTTCCACCCCTTTGACCATCCTACCCCATCTCCCATGAAGATTGCACACGTGGTATTTTGGCCTAATCCATTGGTAGCCCCTTAAATTTGACACCAATATTCAGTTTGACATCTTAATTAAGTTTTGTTCAGTTTAGACACCTCATGACATTCTGCATTGTGTCATTTTAGCACTTTTTGAACAATCAGTTAAATATACAAGATGTGTATAACACACTCACCGATGACGTATCAAAGTGACAAATTAAATAAAAACACTTGGCATGTATATTAAAAATATTTTTTAAATAATAATATTTTAGTAGAACGAAGAAATAGCCAATGACCTAATGACACGTGAAATTTTTTACACAAAAAACTATTTTTTTTAAAAAAACAAATCTACCAAGGTCATTTTCTCTGCCCACCAACTCCAACACCCACCCACCCACCCACGCAAATTGTCTCCTTCATTTTCCCCACCCCCACCCACCCAATGTCTTCTACACCTTTGGCCATCCTAACCCCAACACATTCCCCACATACATCGTCTTCTCCACCCCTCTCCCACCCCATCCATCGTCTTTCAAGATTTTTCGCTGCCCTTCTTCTTTGCAATAACATAAATCGTGATTTTTTTAATGGATTGAAATTTATTTTTTTGTGAATTCTCTTCGTATTAAAGTCCGTTTTTTTGTTCCATAGCACATCAAAATTATTTCTCCATGAAAGGAATTCAAGTTTTGAAAGATGGTGGCTAAAAAATGAGGAAGAAAATGAAAAAAAATAAAACAAAAAATGATTAAGTGAGTCTTTCACGCGTTGGTAGTGAGTGTATTACACTCACTATACCATGTCAGTTTAAAGTGTTAAAATGACACAACGAGACGTGACATGAGGTGTCTAAAATGAACAAAGTCTAGTTAAGATATCTGAGTGAAAATTAGTGCCAAGTTTAGGGTGTCACCGATGGGTTAGTCCTAGTATTTTTCTAGACTATATATTAATAGTCTTGACATGATACTAGGGGTGTACAAAATCGAACCGAAAATAGAATCAAACCGCAAATCGAGTCAAACCGAAAAACAAATCCGACTAGTGGTTTGGTTTGACTTGGTTTACTGTTGGGGAAAAAAACCCGACTATATTTGGGTTGAGTTGGTTTCAACTAAAAAAAAATCAACCTGAGACCAAACCAACCCGACATTATATATGTATTTTAAATTTTTTATTTTATACCTAAAAATACTCACTTTGATATATTTTTTAAATATCTCTTATAATTTTTCATAATTTTTATCTTTTGATATAATTATTTCATGTTTGAAAATTAGAATTCTTAATGATCTAATAAGATTATAATCTATACATATTGGTAATAATAATAAAGTTTAAATAAAAATTAAATTAATACTAATGCAAAAAAGAAAATCAATTCAACACTAATAATGACAATAATTTGAATATTTGTTTTTTAGTTTTACATAGATTTAAACAATTAAAATACATGATCTAATTTTACTTTCTTTTAATGTTTAGTCATGTAACTAATATTTACTAAACTTATTTTAGCATGATTTGTACTTTAACTTATGATCAATTTAATTATGACTTATTAATTTGTAATATTTGTTTTAGGCGATTTTATTATAATTATTTTTTGGATATTTTAGTGTCATTAATTATATCATATTTTTTGTTATTTTCTTGAGAAATAACTTAGGTTGTTGCATTTTGGTAGGATTAAATGAATATTTGAAATACAAGTAATTTATATGTTTTTATCAATACATTATCGGAAAAAATCCGAAAATCCAAAAAAAAACCCGAAGAAACCCGAAAAAACCCAAAGCTAAAAAATCCGAGTTTTATTGGTTTGATTTGATTTATAAATTCAAAAACCCGACACAAATAGTTTGATTTGATATTTGAAAAACCCGAACCAACCCGATCATGTACACCCCTTCATGGTACCATGAGTTTAACTTGTATTCACCGTCGGCGTATACTTTTTTTTACACTGACACATACTTTTAAGGCAAGTTTATTTATTATTTTTATTTTATAAAATACTAATATACGCACGCGTTTGACATATATTTTAAAAAATTATAAATTTGAGTATATATAATATGAATTATTATTGCCGCATAAAAGTGCATGTCCAATCAGATATGGTGTTTTGATTTTATACAAACACTTGATAAAAATATAATTTTATCCTAATCTATGTGCAGTGAAAATATGTTCCTCAAAGACGTCAAATATTCTTTTAGCAACTTCACATTCTCCTAATACAGTGAAGATTAATAGCATATGTGATTTTTGTTGAATTGATATTTGTGTTAAATTAATAAAAATTTAAATTCATAGAATAACTTTGAACCTAATATTAAATTAAAGACTCTATTTTTAGCTAAAATTTAAACATAAATTGCAAAGCATATTGTAATCTCTTTAACACACATCTATCTAATTTATTCATGTTAAATAAGATGATTTTTATTAAATCGAATAAAACTTCATAAAATAAGGAAAAAAAGAATGAATTATCGTGACCAAAAAATATACCACAATTAAATAATTAATATATTTATTTTTAATAGTAATTGATTAAACCTGAAAAGTTATAAGCACTACCAACATTTACTATGAAAGAAGTCTGAAAACATACATGTCAATTCATTTCAACTCAATTCAAATTAAAATTTTAAGAAGAATAATATCAATTATTATGTTAAATTCAAATGTGTGGAGAAAATCTAATATGATAGAATTATAAAATGATAAGGATAAAATTGATAAAT